CTAGGACGAGTTTGGTCACATTACGACTGTCGGTATTCTGATGCTAGGACGGGGTTGGAAATACCGCATCTGGCTTAGGCGTGGCATTGACCAGGCAAGCTGTGCTAGGCTGCTGGTGCGCGCAAGAGTTTGCACGATGGAGTCCAGTTTGCATGGCGCATGGTGCATGGCGTGGACTTGGCTTGGTCAAGTGACGATTAGAAAAAAAGAGGACCAGCTTGGGTGGCTGGTGGCCATCGACCAGGACGTGGCAACGGGCAAGGAGAGGCGACCCGTGTACACGTAAGGCTTTGTTGGCTTGGCGTGGATAACCTTGTGGCCAAATGTTTATACGTGACTTGAGGCTGGGACCAGCATGCCGTGTCCATGTTGGACATCGTAGGGGCTGTTTTGCCTGGATATAAAAGGAGACCGAGGTGTGCACGTTGGTCTGGCTGTGGAGAACAGAAGAGGCTAGGCGGTGTGACGACAGAAGGGGCAGCGCATGAGAGTTTCTGGCGGCTGTTTTAGAGCTTAGGGATTTTGTGTAGAATCCTTTTGTAGATGCTTGTAAGTGGCATCTTGTGAACACATTATCAGAGTAATGAAGTTCAATTCTCTCATATCGATGTGTTGGTAATCTCATTCTTTGGCTAAGCTTCTTGATTTACATGTCTAGCATTAATTTGGTTTTAGTTTGATTTCTTGTTCTCAAGAATAAATTTGTTTCGATCCATCTAAAACTGTGCTGGGGCTTGCTTTGAGTTACTGATCTAAGAAGTTTGATTGGTCAACATGTAATACATTTTGCATAATCACGAAAGTAGGGCTTGATCAATTCTCGTCACTTTCTGGATCAGCGCGCTTGTTTATTTTATATCTCGAGTTCTAGACCTCCGATTGACATGATTCTAGTTGGGTTAGTTCATAAATTTCATCTACTTTAATCTATAAAAGTTTCAGGTCGAGCTACAGGTTTGGGTCGAGATTATTTTTATTAGAGGTGCGGTGTTCTGTCCAAAATGGAAAAAACGAGGCTTGATTTGGTTTTGTGTTTAGGGGAAAGTTTTAAAATTAATTTTTGGCTTCCGCAATCATTCACCCCCTCTGATTGCCTATCTGAGTGTGAATCGATACTACACTTTGGTATTCTTGATGGCTCCAGTGTTCGCTTTGGTATTCCACGTTAAACATCATCCCATAGCCATACTGTCGGCGAAGAAGGTCCCTTAGCTTGCAGTGAAATAAGCCTTCCCCTCCATCTCATGTGCATGCAATCACCGTCCATCCCCAAGGGCGTTGGAAGGGTTCGGCCATTGCCTCCATTGTAAGAGTTGTCATCATAGTTGTCCAGGCCATCATCTCCTGGGTCTCCTCCGACTGCTTGGTGAGGTTCTTCGTGTTCAGCCTGGTCTTTTCCAAGGTCTCCTCATGTCTCCTGGTGGGGTACCTCATGTCCCTCCTGGTCATATGTCATGGATGCCGAAGAGACCTACCACGAGCCAACTCGCTCCCAAGAAGGTTCCCAGCGTCCGTGTTTTCAACGACATCAGGATCCTAGACTCCCACAACCTCAACAAGGAAGGAGGGAGGCACGTTCAAGGACGCCTTGATCACCAAATCCGGCGATGTGTCAAGCACCGAATACACCAACTCCTAGACACTGTCTACACTGATCATCATAAGAATCACAAGATTGTTGGTGGTGCGCTGGGGCATGGAAAGGTGTTCCAACCATCGCTCACTTCCGATGAGAAGAAGGCGTTGCAGGAGTCGCTGGAGTCCACTAGTTCACCCCAAAACGGTCCGGCGAACAAGTAATCCGACGTCCATCAATGGTCCGCCGGGTCATTTTGAAGATGTAGATCACGCTAACAAAAGTGACCATGAGAGGCTTCTAGGTGTAGTTGCAAAGCTTAGAGTTGAAAATAGAGAACTAGAAGAAAGGGTGGCGGAGTTAAGGATGTCTCATTTGGATTTAGAAGATAACTTTCGCGCCCTCCCCCTTGAGCAACAATCCGAAGCTCAAGCGCCTCGCCAAGGCCATGGGAAAAGGGGACCTCCTTTTTCCACCATCACATTGAACATCTCAGGGACTGCTTTGCAAAACTACCATTTTACTGAATTATTTTTATACTAAAAATAACATTTATGATGTCGTAAACATGAATTATTATATCAGTATATAGAAACAAAACATTTTTTGTTAAATAAAAACGCTGCAAAGGATGTTTGGTAACGGTTAGATCGGAAGTTTCACAAGGCAGCGGCAACAGTACAAGGAAAATTGAAAAAGGACAGGGGCTAGATCGCGAAATTGAAGGGGCTGGCGCGGTGGACTTGGCCCATTGGCTGTGGACCGGTGGAGGTTTGTGTAGGCGGTGCACCGTGGACCGCGCGTACAGAACGAAGGGGTATGGGGATTGATTCCTGGCCGCAGATCCACGGATGGACGGCCCAGGGAGCTTCTATGCTTTGGTCACCGGGAAGGCACAGACCACGGCGGCGCCATGGCCAGGCCTGGCGAGAACTCGCCGGTGCCACACGACTACGAGCTGGGCACGGAGGACCTCGGGATATGGCGAAAACAGAGGAGGACCTCACCGCGAAGTCGGGCAGGGGATTCTCGGCGGCAACAGCTGGCACGAAGGGCAAGGATGTCGCGGCGGGGCGGACGGCAACGGCGAGGTGCTCCGGCGAGCACGGCGGACGACGTTGCGAGCACCAATTCACAGAAATAAGCGGTGCGGTGGGTGCAGTGTGTTCCAACGGAGCAAGAGTTCGGGTGCGAGGTTGTCGGTATGGGGAGATCGGGAATTCGGGCCGAGCTTCGGCAATGACGGTGGCGACGGTGGTAGGAGGTGCTGCGGCGAGGGAGAAGGCTCGGGGAGGGGCGAGGTGGATGCGGCGTGCGTGCGCAGGGCGCTGGCGCCTTTTATAGAGGGAGAGAGGGCCGTAGGGGGCGTTCCACGGAGCTCGCCCGCATGACCAATGGCGGCCGCACTCTGTCCGCGGGAGTGAAGGGTCAAGACGCGACCGGGTCGATTGGGGGAGCGCGGAGAGAGGGGAGATCCGGGGATCTCTCTGACGGGGTCGGGGACGCGGGAGTGGTTCGGTCCGCGCGGATCGAAGCACCCCTGTCCGGCAATGGCGGAAGAGATAGGGGAGAACGGAGGAGGGGGATGCCGCCGACAGGCGGGGCCCGCTCGTCAGCGGCGGAGAGTGGAGGCCTACTCGGCAGAGACTGCGAGAGAGAGGGCGCTCGCGCGGTGGGCTGAGTGCCTCCACGCGCAGATGGGCCTCGGCCCAGGCAGGAAGGGAGGAGGGGCGCGGGTGGGGAGACATAGGCCGGCCAGATTGGGCCCGAGGGAGAAAGGGAGAGCGTTTTATTCTTTTTTTCCATTTTGTAAAATCAAACTAAGGTTCAAATTGCAAGCCTTTTCAATTCAAACCAGTTTTGAAAATATTTTAAATATTTTGAGTTTTTAAAACTTAATTCTAAATTTTGGAGATAAAACTTTTGAACTATTTTTTAGATAAAAACTAATACTTTATTTTAGAAAAAGGAGAAAAACTTATGCACATCTAATTCGATTTTTGATAAATCATTTTTCACTCATTAAAATTGATGCAGGAAACATGAATGCGATAAAAATACATTTTTATTTTATAAAATATTATTTTCCTTTAGCTATTATTTGGTCATAAATCAAAATTTAATATTTATGAAATTCAAAATTTAGGGTGTTACAATGCACCGAGGGTGCTCCCGCTAGCCATGGTGGCGCGGTCGCGGTGCCTCCATCGTCGCTTTTCGGCAGGCTAGTGATGGAGCAACAGCACGCGTCCCCCATAGGGCCGACATGGCCTCCATCGCCATGCCTCGCGGGGGCCCTGCCTCGTCCCTCTAAGACGAGTGCGTCTGGATCTCGATGGCGGCTATGCGGGTGGATGGGCCGGAGGGTGGCGTGTGTAGGGGTTAAGGCCGGCAGTGGTGAAGAGGGAGGCATGCGTGGGATGAAGGCTGCCGGAGAGCGGTACGTGCGGGTCAAAGCCGACGATGGTGAAGTGGGAAGAGGGCAGCCGCCGGCCTCTCTTCAGTGGACGAGAAGATGGTGGCACATGCAGGTCGAGGTCGGGCGGTGGAGACTAACACTGGCGAAGGGTGGGGGCAACGGCCGAGTGGGGTGGTGGTGGTGGGATGGATGACGAGATAGGAGGGTCAGGCGAATGGCCAAGGAAAGGGATAAATCTGGTTTCACGTGAGACTCCCCGACTTTAGCGACTCTTTTTGTGTGATAAAGTTTCAATGCTACGACGATTATTTTTTGGGGGGCGGAGGGAGTACAGTCTATGGAGGGAGGAAAATTGGTCTTATAGAGCGCGTGACAAGGACATTTTTCACGTGACGAGGACATTTTTCACAAAAGGTTCGCTGGTAGTGTTAGGACCAAGTGCCGCCGTGGTTGAAACCAAAAGATCAAGATGAGTTGGAGCAGGTCAAATGCCAAAGTGCTGGAATGGCTAGAGAATTCAGACCAAGTGAGGCCCTGTTGACAGACACCGGATAAATCAGAATGTGATAGCTGCTATGTCGTTTGGATGTCAGTTTTTGGCTCTCAAGTCTTGTCCAGTAAACAGCTAGCTGTACTCTCATTTGCTTTCTTATGGCAGAAAGATTATATCAATAAAAAAAATACTAGGTGTTCGGACCAGGTTTCCTCGAATCCGTTGGACCTTCAAGAAGGCCCATAACTACGAAATGGAATGTAGCAGCCCACGGTGCCACTCTTCCCGGTTTTGCTTCCCTCCAGGCTCCAGCGTCCCATCTCCAATCAAGAACACTGAACACAGCACACACGAACGGACGTGGCGGAAGCAGTAAGTAATCAAAGAAAAACCCACACGGAACGAAGGAGAGATACGATCATCCATACACATACATTTGAGATTTTGACTATTGAGCACGCAAGACGCAAGGCAGCATGTGACGTTCACTGCTGCCACCGGCGAACAGCTAGCTAGCTCTTCCCGGCGCCGGCAGCCTCCGTGGACTTGTCATGGAGCACGCTGGCGGTCTCGGACCCGGAGCTGTGCCTCTGCTCCGCCGACCAAGACACCGCCGACCCGACCTTCCAGTACTTGCCGTCGCCCCACTTCCCACCACCGCCGCCGTGGCCACCGTGCGCCGACTCCTCGCCGTCGGAGTTGGACACCGACACGGCCCGCCAGTTGCTCCACACCCTCAGCATGGTGTACAGAAGCGCCACACACACCACCGCCGAGACCAGCGCGATGCCCGCAACGATCACGACCACCTCCGTGCCCGACAGCCGCCTAGCAGGCGACCGCGGCCCGCACGGTGGCAGCGGCGCGCCGCAGAGCTCGTTGCCGACGAACGACGCCGCTGGGAAGCTCGACAGCCCCGCGGGCACCGCGCCGGAGAGGAGGTTGTCGGAGAGGTTCAGGCGGTGCAGGCTCGTCAGCTGCAGCAGCGAGGACGGTATCTGCCCGTCCAGCCGGTTGGACGACAGGTTCAGCCGCTCCAGCTTCACTAGGCTGCCGAGGGACGCCGGGATCTCGCCGGAGAGCCTGTTCCGGCTCAGGTCCAGTATCACCTGCAGCTCCGAGAGCTGCCCGAGCTCCGGCGGGATCGGCCCCTCCAGCGAGTTCTCCGACAGTCTCAGCTCGTATAGCTTGTCGCATTGCTGCAGCGCCGGCGGTATGGCGCCGGTGAGGCTGTTCTTGTTCAGGTTCAGAACGTTCAGAGACGTCAGCCTGCCGATCTCCGGCGGGATGCTTCCATTGAGGTGGTTGTCGCTGAGGGACAGCTTCAGCAAGCCCAAGCAGTTGCCCAGCTCCGGCGGGATGCCTCCAGTCAACGCGTTCCACGACAGGTCGAGCTCGCCGAGTGACCTGAGGCTGCCGAGCCATGCAGGGACGGTGCCCGTCAGGCTGTTCCCGTCGAGCTTCAGATGGGTGAGCTCAACACAGTTGGAGAGCTCCGCCGGGATGTCGCCGGAGAGGTTGTTGAGCGAAAGGTCAAGCATGCTGAGCCTTGTCAGATTGCCTAGTTCGGCCGGTATCACACCGGTGAGCCGGTTGCCGCCAAGCTGGAGCCGGACCATGTTCCTTGATCGGGCGACCGCCGCTGGAATGACGCCGGAGAAGCTGTTGTCGGTTAGCGCTAGCACGGCGAGCGAGCTCGAGCCGAGAAGAGGGACGAGGCTGCCGGCGAACCGGTTGTGGGAGAAGTTGATCACGGTGAGGTTCTTGAGCTGGAACAGCGACTCCGGCAGGGGGCCCTCGAGGGAGTTGTTGTACAGGGTTACCACGCTGAGCTCGGCGAGCTGCCCGAACGTATCGGGCAACGCGCCGGTAAGCCGGTTGTCTGCCAATGCCAGCGCCTGGAGGCTCCTGCACTCACCGAGGCTCACCGGAATGGGGCCGGACAGGTCGTTCTGCCGGAGCTGAAGCACGGCCAGGTTCCTGAGGTTCCCAATCCTTTCGGGAATAGGGCCATGGAAGTGGTTGCCGAAGAAGTCCACCTCTTCCAAGCTCGTGCAGTTGGTGAGCTCGTCAGGGATGGTTCCGGACATCTGGTTCTCGTAGAGGAACAAGAGCTTCAGCTTCTGAAGCCTGCCGATCTCCGGCGGTATTCCACCGGTGAGGCCATTGTGGAACAGAGACAGAATCTCCAGGTTGCTCAGGTTCCCTATCTGCCGCGGCAGTGCACCGGTGAAGCTGTTGTTGTGCAGAGCAAGGTTGACGAGGCCAGGCAGCCGGTCAATGTCCGGCGGTATTACTCCGGTGAAGCTGTTGTTTGACACGTCGATGGACTGGAGAGCACCGCAGTTGAGCAGCGCCTCGATGCCGCCTTCAAGATTGTTGCCAGCGAGGAACAGGTTCTCCAGCAGGCTTGATGAGCCGCCGGCGCAGAGGTCTTCAGGGATGGCGCCATCAAGGAGATTGCCAGACAGCACAAGGTACTTCAGGTTCTTCAGTTGTGCTGCAGAGATGCTGACCTTTCCAGAAATGTTGTTCATGGATAAGTCCAGAACCTGCAACTGGCCCAGCCGGTTCAGTTCTGCCGGAATGGCGCCGGTCAGGCTGCTGCCGAGCAGGTTGAGGTATGTCAAGCTGGAAAGGCTGCCGATCTCCGCCGGAATCTCACCGGAGAACTGATTGTTTGCTAAATTAAGAGACTGGAGATCACTGAAGCTCCCAATAAACGAAGGAATGTTGCCTTGCAGCATGTTATCAGCCACTGACAGAAAGCGCAAGCTTACACAGCCAGCAAGCTGCTCCGGGATGCCGCCGGTGAGGGTGTTGTTGTCCAGGGCCAGCTTCTGCAACTGCTTCAGGCTGCCAAGCTCAGCAGGAATGGTGCCATTCAGCTGGCAGTAGGCCAGGCCGAGCGTCTCCAGCTCCGAACAGTTGCCCAGGTGCGGCGGGATCTCGCCGTGCAGCCTGTTGTCGCCGAGCCTGAGCACCTTGAGGTTCTTGAGAAGACCGAGCTCCGACGGGATGGTGCCGGTGAGGGAGTTGGAGAAGAGGAGCAGCGTCCTCAGGTTCTCCAGCACGCCAAGCTCCGGCGGGATCGGCCCAGTGAGGGAATTGGAGGACAAGTCAATGGACTCGATGGAGATGAGGCCGCTGATCGCCGGCGGTATCATGCCTGACAGGCCGTACCCGGACAGGTTGAGGCCTGTCACAATGCCCACCTCCCCGGGCAGGCATGTAATGCCATGCCATGAGCACACGTCGGCCTCCAGTGACCAGCCGGAGAGGACACCTCCAGGGTCAGTGAGGCCGGACTTCACTTGCAAGAGAGCAGCAGGTGTTGTGGCTGGTGTGGCTAAACATACAGGTGCAAGCAGCATGCAGAAGAGCAGGGATAGATCAGCAAGAACACGTGGAGTGAAGCTGCTCTGATTGATAGCCATTGCTACTGCAAGATGGTATCATGTAGCTGTGTGAGCCAGAAGGAAGTGAGCTTCAGGGATGCTGCTATGGTGACGAGGGGATGTCTATATGCTCCACTGCACAGAGTTGTTGCCCAAGCTGCAAAAGATAAAAAAAGAGTTGTCAAACACTACCTGCTCTATGTATCACAGTCAGAGTCAGAGAATGTGCTGGATTCGTATACTGAAAATGCAATACAAGCCAAATGAGAAGGTGAAAGCAGTTCAGAAAATAAAAATTGCAGATACTGTACCAGAATAATGACCGGCATAGGTTTCGATAATTCAGGCCTAAGCAACAGGTAATTTAAAGGCTACTCTTGTTGTTTTGACTTGTTACTCCATCCTCTTCTGCTTGATTTGTTCTGACAAGAGCGAAAAAGGCGCTCGAAATTAGTTAACTATGCGCTTTACAGCGCGTACATGATCGAACAGTTCAACTGCCCCCTCGATTTGGTGGCAACTGGACAAGTAGATGCTGCTTCCATGCTTTATTTTATAGTCTTTTGCTCAGTTTTAGTGACAAAAAAAATAAGTATAGCATACTCTGGTCATCATCCCAAACCCAAAGTCAAGCTTCTGACTATGCAAACAAGTAGATGGATGACATGAAATTTTCCCCTTGGCAGCTGAAGAAAAAGAAAATACATAGCAGTATAGCTTTGTGAATCAAGGGGAACGTGCTACAGATAACTGAAGGTAAATACGTATATTTGTACAACCTCCGTCAAGAAAAAGATTCAATTCTAGATCTAACTTAGTTAAACTAGCTAAAATTTAACCAAATTTATAGATAAAAGTATCAATATTTATGATATCAAACAGGTGTACTATAAAAATATATTTCATGATGAATTCAATAACACTTTTGATATCACAAATATTGTTTTTTTTTATCAGTTTGATCAAATTTAAAATGGTTCGACTTGGTATTATACTAGAATTTCGGGGACATAGAGTATTTGATAAGGAAAGAAATAACCATCACCTTATAGGATCTATGTATCTGAATAAATTGCTGGAAAAGGCCAATCATCAAGCCAGCAAGACCCACAAAGGGGCTTTTCAATTATATCAGGTCGAGGGAAGGCCAGTTACTTTTGCAGGGGATCGACAGTGACACAATCAAATCAACAGGGGCACAGGAAACAAAGGTGACTCTTGGTTACAGAAAAAAAAAAGAGAGAGACAAAGGTGATTGGAAAAAACAAAAAAGACCCACAGTAACCACTGGGCAGAAGCATGCACGGGGCTCACCAGCTCGCACTTGGCTTTGCTTCCTGCAGTTCAAATGCAGCAACACCCAAGTGATTCCATAGACGGGACGAGTCCATTCAGATACAGACAGACTACTACCTGGTTATCTACTAGTGGCCTTCTCAGCTCTCATCATGCACAACGACGCCCTCCTTTCTGGTTCAGCTTTCAGAGCTAAGACCACATAGTGGAGTGCCAGCTTTGTGCAGCCATTTTTCAGTCAGTTGCTCAATCACTGATTTGGCTAACCCACAATGCTAAGTAATAACTACTTCCATGCAAGTTATGGCTGACTGGCTGTAAGGTTGGGGTCTCCCTACATTGTTACCTTGTCTCTTTACTGGAATGGTTAACTGGAAAGGTGCAAGTAACACAGAAATAGGTTGTGGAGAAGCAAATATAGAGGTAAAAGTAAAAAATGAGAAAGTGAAACGGTGGTAACTGAACTTATTGCATGATAAGAAGTAGATAAAAGAACTGAGAGGGCTATATGATCGGATGACTCCAAACCACAACCTACCCGTCCGTTCGGCGACATGAGGACAATGACTTGGGGCTGGTGCAATGGTTGCATCATTGGTCCACGATTGACTTTCTTTGACGTCCGAACAATTTAGTACTGGTTCCTGAAGCATGATTGATCTGGGTTTGACTTGTGCCTCCTTCACATTGTATTCTTGCCTGCTTGTACGTTTCTCGCCTGCTCACCCACATGATTCAGAATTGGATAGGACACGAGTCAAAGGACAAGTGTGGGTGTGTAAAGCGTGTGAGTTCTAGCTTATCTCCAAACATAATACTTAATTCAGTGCTAGAAGGAGCAATGTATTTTAATGAGAGATATCGAAAGGCGAGATAGTCTAAACTAGAATCGCGGCGCAAACATTCTTGGACAAATGAATAGTCCATTTAGCATGTGTTAAAATAATAGTGTCGAACGCAAGAATGCTACCTTCATAACCACAACTAAGAAACACTTACGTGAGTACCTGTAGAATCATAAAAAATGGTAGTTGTTGTTGCAATTAAATCAAACCTTCACCTTACGGCTTGCTGCTCAAGAGAAATTTCGATAGTGTACTTACATAAGATATTTACTTTATCATAGGAAAAAACTGTTCTTCATCATAAGCGAACTACAGGGAAAAAAAGCAAATAATTTAAGATACTGCACAAAAAGCTAATGTAGTTAACATCAAAGCATGCCAGACAAGTCATCCAAGTTATAGCTAAGGCCTCAGAGGTGCAAAAGGTGCGCTGCTATGTTTGTACATGGCTTGTTGTTCAGTACTTAAGTTGTTACTTGTTACCGTCGTCCAAATCTCTTCAGAATTTCTCTAGGCACCAAGCTCTATCCTTCTTTTGAATGTCATATGTTTTTCGTTCATGGACTCAAAGAAATGCATTCTTTTTAGCGAACATGTCTCAGCACGTGTTTCATTAATACGAAAGACTCAAAGAAATGCAAACACAAGCCAGAAATAATGATTAGTAGATTTCGCTGCGCTAACCTGCTGGCTGTGATAGCAAGCAGCAGAGGAGGTTCTAGTCTGCAAATCAAAGTGTCAGCATGCATGAGCCAAACCCTTTTCCCATGCAGACATGCAGTAGCACACAGCCACACACAAGCATCTGCAAATCTACAATCAGCTGCCGAGACAAACTTTCCAGTTGGGAGATGCTGGAAAAGCCGATCTGCTTTTAGAGGAATGGACTGTGTTACCGCTTAATTTATATAAGATTAAGTACAGCTATCCCCGTTTAACACGTTGACGCGCGCATACTTTCACTTATATAAACCTGTAGTCCACCGAGTGTCACGAATGACCTCGGTAAATCAATATCATAACCAAGATCGCATGATTAAGCAAATACACATCACATACACAGAGTTGCAGCGTAAATAATATTACAAATGGGTTCATAAATAATAGTATAAGTTTGGGTTTCAAAACCAGTTAAGGGAAAACAACATAGCTTTCAAATGATTACATTAATATAAGTTTCAAATACATTGCTAGCATAAGTGACATCCTCCAACAAAAGCATATAGATGAGAAATAAATATAGAGTCACCGAGCCCACCGGCGGTTAGCCACCATTTTCAGCAGGCCGAGAATTTCACCTGCAACATGGTGGGATAAACCCTGAGTACTCGAATGTACTCAGCTAGACTTACCCGTCATAAACCAAAAATAAAGTGACACCAAGAAGTATGCAAGGCTTTATCGGTGGAGTTAGATTTTGCATAAAAGCCACTAGTGAGTTATACATTTTATAATTCGGTAACCAAGTTAATTATAGTTATTTATCTCTAAATTAGCAACTAACATGTGCCAAACATGTGGAATGTCATTTAGTAACATGCAGTAGTAACCATAGCCGTTATAACATTTCCATATTCATCATAACCATCAAATTCCATCAGTTAAGTGAAGTTCTCACTATCCGGGAGAGACGGCGACTCGAATCGATTCCAACCAACGAGGGAGTTATTCCTAACACAAACCTAAACATACTTGCGCTAAACTAGTCTTAGGTCACCTTTGGTACAACTCAGGTACAGTCGCGGGTCCGATCAGCGCCGCACCCTCAGGGATACTACCACTCTACCAAGAAGTTCAGGCATGGCCTGCCCTTGGACTCACGCCACTGGCTCCCCGCACATCTTTACTGTCTCTAGTGTACGCACTTTCACTTACCTGGTCGCGGCCTGAGTTGAGCTACTCGGCTTCGTGGTCGGAACGACTTATCCGGCCAACTAAGTGCTAGGCATGCGTTCAACATGACATAAGGACGTACAGTGAATCGGTCCTTAACCGACACAAATGGGGATAAATAGGCACCAAGACATCCATGCCTTGTTGCTTTATCTTGGTCAAACAGCACCTCGTTAAACCCTAGAATTAGGGTTTTTGACCAATTGAGGCCTTTTCTTGATATTTGCTCAACACGAACCCTTCATGACTTTTGTTGTAGAGTTCAATTAGAGTCATTTAGGAAAGGTAGCAAGGTTTTGTCGACATCTCATATTCCCATTTACTTAATTAAGCAATTCAATCAAGGTTATAACTTATCATTTCATGTGACTTCTTGGCTCCAAACTTCACGAAACTTTTCCACCGGTCAAGATGGATACATGTTGATGTAATATTCATGAAATAAGCATGTTTAACATTACTCATGCCTAATCTTAACCAGGGTCCATATGTAAGCAAAGTGTATTGTCCGAGTCCAAGTTGGGGCTCATTTTCTTAGGTTTGACCTTAATACCTTCATCATTACTTCCAGATTATGAACTAGAGATCGTAATTATTGCTTGACATATCCTACTTAAGTCCAATTTTGTTGCTTAACTCATGACTAACACACGGGGTGTTACATGTGTTGCTCCCGAGATCTCCAGCACGGGTGAGCCGACCTCTCACCATCGTTGCCGACCACACACTACGGCTTGAGGTAGAAGAGGGAGGGAGAACAAAGCACACACACACAGCACAAACACCAGCGTTGGCCGGAGCTCTACAGAGGAGATGATAAAACTTAACTCTCTTTCTTTACTGAGTTGCAGTAGAAAGCTATATATACAATTCTACCCATCTAATCCTAGTACACCGACATGCCAGGCTGTCATGCTGCTACAGTGATTAGATGTGACAGCAGGGCTGACTTTGGCTCATGCACCTGCTGTGGCTACAGCACGACAAGGAGCCTTTTGGCGCCTG